AGTCCCAGCTACTCTGGAGGCTGAGGCACGAAAAACACTTGAGCCCAGGAGGTGGAGGTTGCAGTGAGCTGACATTGCACCACTGCACTCCAGCCTGGGTGACAGAGCGAGATCCTGTCTCAAAAAAAAAAAAAAAAAAAAAAAAAAAAATCTAGTCCTCAAGACATAAATTCCACCTTTACCACTTAAAAACAGCTACCGTTAATAATTAATATGCAAAACACCTAATTATATTATTATCTTGTTTAATTTTCACAAAGAACTATTATTGCCATTTTACAGATGAGGAAACTGAGGCTCAGAAAGGTTAAGATCTGGGCTTTGAAGCCAGGTCTCTGCCACCCCAAGTCCTGGGCTTTTATCCACTGAATCACATCAGAATAACCTGTGGCTCAGTGGACAAAATTGGTTCTGTCCTCTGCACTGGAACAGGAGGTTCCCGAACAGAGGGGCTGTGTGTTTTATTTGCCTTTATATTCCCAAGGTCAAACACAAGACCTGGCCCAAAAGCACAAGGATGGAGGGAGAGAGGAAGAGCAATAGGAGGGGAGTCTTTTTCACATTCAGTTAGGGGAGGTGTCGCTGGGAACTGGCACTCTTTTTCATTCACCCAACAAATATTTATTGAGCAACTACTAGGTGCCGGACATGGCTCTAGACAGATGCACTAAACAAAGTCCTTCCTAAGGGAGCTCACCTTCTAAAGTACTGGGAAGAAAAATAAAGCCAGATTAGGGATGGTGTGTGTATACTGTTTTGGAGAGGGTGTTCAGGGGAGGAGGTTGCTGGGTAGAGAATAGCTTGGAATGGGCTAAGTGGTGGGGTGGGGACCTCAGTCTGAAAGCCTCTGCAGCAATCCGAGGAGATGGTGGAGGCTCAAGCCGGGGGTAAAAGTGGGTTTTAGTGAGAAGTGGTCGGATTTAAAGTCTATTTTGAAAGTAAAACAGACAGGACAGGAATCCAAAGCTGAATGTGGCCTGTTTTTTTACCACAGTACACCTCATGGAGAGGAAAAGCCAGTTTCACTTAAAAGTGTCTGTGATGAAACCATTAAGATTATTAATTCTATGACATCTTGACTTTGGAGTACATGATTTTTTAATATTCTGTGTGATGAAATGGGAAGCCCTTCTGCAAACTGGAGGACAGTGATTACCTCCAGGCAACATCCTCTGTGCCTGAGCTGCCGGCCTCCCAGCCCTCTTGGTGATGGAACTTCGTTTTTACTTAAAAGAATGACTGACAAACTGTGCTCACTCAGACTTGGGTATTTGGTCGACATTTTCTTGAAAATAAAAGGAGTGAGCCGTCGCTTCAAGGAGAACAACTGAAATATTTGTTGGCACGATAAAAGTTGAACTTTCAAATGAAAATTAGCATTTGGGAAACTTGTATCCACCACTGTAAGTGTGGACACTTTCCAGTACTTTACATACTTTTCTGATGAGATTGGTGGTGACATTACCAAATGTGATTTTTAAATTTTGTGTAACATTTGGAAAATCTGCATCACTCCACGAACTGATATTTTCCAAATGACCAAAACACAATTTGATGAAGCCATGCGTGAGTAAAGATCCATCAAAAGAGCAAGTGCAGGCTGGGCGCAGCGGCTCACGCCTGCAATCCCAGCACGTTGGGAGGCAGAGGCGGTTGGATCACCTGAGGTCAGGAGTTCGAGACTAACCTGGCCAACATGGCAAAATCCTGTCTCTACTAAAAATACAAAAATTAGCCAGGCATGGTGGTGCAGGCCTGTAATCCCAGCTACACAGGAGGCTGAGGCAGGAGAGTAGCTTGAGCCTGGGAGGTGGAGGTTGCAGTGAGCCGAGATTACGCCACTGCCCTCCAGCCTGGGCAACAAAGCAAGACTTCGTCTCAAAAGACAAAAGAAGAAAGCAAAGCAAAATAATGGATTTTAATATAAGAGAATATGAAAAAGTCATTGATGTGGCTTCAGAGTCCGCATGCAGCTAACCTATAAGATAAAGCATCAATTGTCGAGTTCGGGTATGGTCAGGCAGGGCATGGTGGCTCATACCTGTAATCCCAGCACTTTGGGAAGCTGAGGTGGGTGGATCACCTGAGGTCAGGCGTTCAAGACCAGCCTGGCCAACATGGTGAAACCCCACCTCTGCTAAAAATACAAAAAATTAGCTGGGCATGGTGGTGCACACTTGTAATCCCAGCTACTCAGGAGGCTGAGGCAGGAGAATTGGTTGAACCCAGGAGGTGGAGGTTGCGGGGAGCTGAAATTGGGCCACTGCACTCTAGTCTGGGAGATAGAGCAAGACTCCGTCTTGGGAAAAAAAAAAAAAAAGGTTTGGGTATACTCAAAGAAGGCTACGTACAATGATCTAAAAAGGCCTTTAAACTATCTGAACTTTTCCAACTACACCTATCTGTATGAGGCCAAACTTTCTTCATATATACATTAGCCTGATAGGGCTGCCCTCACCAAGTACCACAGACCAGGTAGCTTAAAGAGCAGAAATTTATTTTCTCACAATTCTAGAGGCTGAAAGTCCAAGCTCAGGGTATCCCCAGGGCTGGTTTCTCCTGAAACCTCCTTCGTTGGCGTCTGATGTCTGCACGCTTCTGGTGTCTCTATGTGGTCTTCGCTCTGTGCCAGGGTCCAAACTTCCTCCACTGATAAAGACACCAGTCATAGCGGATTAGGGTCCACCCTAATATTTTCATTTTCAACTTAATTGTACCTGTAAAGACCCAGTGTCCAAATACACTCACATTCTGAGGTAGTGCGGGACATAATTCAGACTGTAACAGTATACTTAAACTAAATAATAACATATTACAAGAGGTTAAATGTAGAGGTCATATAAGAATTCAGCTGTCTTCTATTAAGCCAGATATTTAGAATATTGATAAAAATGTAAAATAATGCTACACTTTGCCCAAAATTTATTTGCCCAAAGTATATTTGTCACAAAAAAAGTTGTGTTAATATGTAATTGGTTTATTATTTTTAGAAGAATTAATAAAGGTTTTTAAGCTTTCTCAGTTTATTTTTTGCTTGAGATAGAGTCTTACGCTGTAGCCCAGGCTGGAGTGCAGTGGCTCACAGCAGCCTCCGCCTCCCAGGCTCAAGCGATCTTTTCAACTCAGCTTTCCAAGTAACTGGGGCTACAGCTCCACAACTCCACACCCAGCTATTTTTTTTTTTTTTTTTGTATATGTTGGAGAGATGGGGTCTCACTATGTTGCCCAGGCTAGTCTCAAACTTCAGTGATCTATCTCCAAAAGTCCTGGGATTACAGGTATGAGCCACTTTGCCCAGCCTTTTTTTTTATTTTTATTTTTTAAGACACAGGGTCTCATTCTGTCCCCAGCAAGCTACCACACAGTGGTACAATCATAGGTCATTGCAGCCTCCACCACTGGGCTCAAGCAATCCTCCTGCCTACGCCTTCTCCTCCCAAAGTGTTGGAACTACAGTTGTGAGCCCCCACACCTGGCCTCAGTTTTAATTTCTAATCGGTAATTTATTTTTGGTAGATATAATCTGTATAAATAAAACCTCTTTGGAATTCTCAATAATTTGTATAGAGTAAAGGGGTCCTGAGACCAAGAAGAATCACTGGTTTACAGTGATAAAAATTTGTGTTTAGATCTTTTATCCAAATATCCCACTAGGAGACTGACCTCAGGGCATTTGCGCTTGCTCTTTGAATACCTTATTTGTCATGCCCTGTACTGTGATAAAGGTGTGTCTGAGGGGACCTTATCCATCACCTTCCTTTCCTGACAGTAATTATTGTTTTCTCAAAGACATACAGCTTCAACCCTTTTCATCTGCTCTGAATACTGTCCTGAATCATCTATACAGAAAATCTGGAGTGCCATTGTTCAGGTCTTAACTGAAATGTCACTTCCTGAGAGAGGCTGCCTGAAACCCATAACCCATGCCATAGATCAGAAATAAGTTCTTGGCCAGGCGCGGTGGCTCACACCTGTAATCCCAGCACCTTGGGAGGCTGAGGCGGGCAGATCACCTGAGGTCAGGAATTCAAGACCAGCCTGGCCAACAGGGTGAAATCCCGTCCTGGAAGGCAGAGGTCACCAAGATTGCACCACTGCACTCGAGCCTGGGTGACAGAGCAAGACTCTGTCTCAAATAAAAAAAGAAAGAGAGAGAGAGAGGGAGGGAGGGAGGAAGGAAGGAAGGAAGGAAGGAAGGAAGGAAGGAAGGAAGGAGGAAGGAAGGGGAAGGGAGGGAGGAAGGAAGGAAGGAAGAAAGGAAGGAAGGAAGGAAGGAAGGAGGAAGGAAGGGGAAGGGAGGAAGGAAGGGAGGAAGGAAGGAAGGAAGGAAGGAAGGGAAGGGGAAGGAAGGAGTGGAAGGAAGGGGAAGGGAGGGAGGAAGCTGAAGGAAGCAAGAAAGGAAGGAAGGAAGGAAGGAAGGAAGGAAGGAGGAAGGAAGGGGAAGGAGGAAGGAAGTGGGAGGAAAGGAAGGAAGGAGGAAGGAAGGAAGGGAGGAAGGAAGGGTGGAAGGAGGAAGGAAGGTAAAGGAAGGAGGGCTGAAGGGAAGGGAGGAAGGAAGGGAGGAAGGAAGGAAGGAGGAAGGAAGGGGAAGGGAGGAAGGAAGGGAGGAAGGAAGGAAGGAGGAAGGAAGGAAGGAGGAAGGAAGGAAGGAAGGAAGGAAGGAGGAAGGAAGGAAGGAAGGAGGAAGGAAGGAAGGAGGAAGGAAGGAAGGAGGAAGGAAGGAAGGAAGGAAGGAAGGAAGGAGGAAGGAAGGAGGAAGGAAGGAAGAAGGAAGGAAGGAAGAAGGAAGGAAGGAAGGAAGGAAGGAAGGAAGGAGGAAGGAAGGAAGGAGGAAGGAAGGAAAAGAAAGAGGTTCTTATGGCACCCTGGGTTCTTCCCTCATAGCACCTACCAGGGGGATTGTAGAGTTGCTTCTGAGAGTATTAGTTCAGCCTCCCCCATTCAAAGTAGATCTATAAAGCTAATGTCCTTGTCTCTCTTGTTCATTGCTATATCCTCAGTTTCTAGGACGTTTGTTCAAAGAATGAATGAAGACATGCATTCAACTGCTGTGGACCAGGGGAAGCTACTAGTGGAGTCAGGGGCGCTGCAGCTGTGCACACAGGCATGCAGTGTGGGAGCATCGCTGGTGCATCGCCTGACTTCTGAGGATGCTTAACTTTTCGAACCACAGCAAACTTCATTATAGAACCTATTTTCCAGAGCACGTATACAAGATAGTACTGTGTTGAGGAAGAAATGAGGTGCACCTAGGATCATCAAAATCTTCACTCCACCCCCAACCTCCTATCCCCACTTTTTTGCCACTGACAGATGAGCCCATTGGAAATAAGCCAGTAAGTCTTCCTGGGACCTCCTTCAGCTCCTTCTCCAGGGAAAAGGCAGAATGCAAATACAGTTTTCGATCTTGTGTGAATTTGGAGAATGTGCAATGTAGAGAGGCCCCGTGTGCATTTCATGGCAGATCCAGAAAATAAGGTTTAATGATGAGAAAAGAAGGAAATGATTGTCAAAATATGACTTCATAAGGTACAGCCCCAGGGGACCTACTTTGGCAGTAAAGATAATTAAGCTTAGATTTTTAAAGGTCAATTTTAACCAGCTTGTGAGGCAAATGGTAACCGTAACATCATCATAACCCTCCGTATCTATGGCAACTGAATTTCTCAGCCGTAATTAAACATAAAACTACAACTACTGCATTGGTCCCAGCACCAGCTGCAAATACGTATATGAGAACAAAGTAGGCAAACTTGAGATATCCTTTTGGAATATTCTGGCCATTTACTGGGAAAACAAGCAACAGAAGCTGCTGTTAAACCTGCTGCTAATGACGCCAGGTTGCCGGTCCACCAACCTGCCTCTGGGACCTTGTGTGAGAGGAAGACTGATCCCAAATCAATTGCTTTTCATTCATATATTGGTTATAAGCTGTAGAGCAAAGGTAGCAAAAGAAAAAAAAGGTGATTATTTGGATATTTGAATTATCTTTTTAAAAGTATATTTTTCTAATCTCAAACATGATTAAAAATGACCAGGCACAGTGGCTCACGCCTGTAATCCCAACACTTTGGGAGGCTGAGGCAGGCAGATCACTTGAGGTCAGGAATTTGAGACCAGCCTAGCCAACATGATGAAACCCTGTCTCTACTAAAAATACAAAAATTAGCCAGAAGCAGTGGCATATGCCTGTAATCCCAGCTACTTGGGAGGCTGAGGCAGGAGAATCACTTGAACCCAGACGCGGAGGTTGCAGTGAGCTGAGATCGCACCACTGCACTCCGGCCTGGGTAACACAGCGAGACTCCATCTAAAAAAAAAAAAAGATTTTAAAAAGAAACCAACACATATTTATTGTAGAAAATTTCTAAAATTCAGACAAATGTCAAGAAGAAAAGAAAAAGTACCTGAAGTCCCAATTAGGTTGTTTCCTGTCTTTTTTCTGTACGTGTATTTCATACAATTAGGATTAAGCATATAGTTTTGTGTCCTGTGCTTTTTTCCCATTAATAGTATTTACGATCTTTTTTCCATATTATTATTCTTCAAAAGTACAGCTTTTAACAATGGCAGAAAATTTTTACCATATAACTCTCCTGTAAATTGTCTTTGTACTTTATCTCATTTACTCCGCATTGTGGGATTAGTCATTTTTACAGCCTGTCAGCATGTCCTACATAGGCATTCTAGCTCCCCAATTTAGGAGGTAGAGTTCTTGGCATCTGTTGCACTGATCTCACTCCACTTTGGAGTCTCAGCTGAAGCCAAAACGAGAGTCCCATTTTAGCATCCTGTTCCATATGTAAAATTGGAGGGAATAACTAAGACAAATTAATAAAAATACAACAGTGGTGGTAGACTTTCACCCACTTGTTTCAGTCTTTGTTGGACTAAATAGAGAAAAGAAAGTAAGGATGTTTCAGAGGAGGAGAATATAATGACTAAATGTTCTGAACTGTATCCTTTGAAAAGAGTAGACTTCCTTTCAAGTAAATGGAAAAAGATATAATGATGTCCACTGATGAATGGGTAAACAAAATGTGGTATATACATACAAGGAGGCCAGAGTAGTGGTTCATGCCTGTAATCACAGCACTTTGGGAGGCCAAGGTGGGCGGATCACTTGAGGCCAGGAGTTCGAGACCAGCCTGGCCAAAATGGTGAAACCTTGTCTCTACTAAAAACACAAAAAATTAACCAGGTGTGGTGGTGCACACCTGTAGTCCCAACTACTTGGGAGGCTGAGGCAGGAGGATCACCAGAGCCTGGGAGGCAGAGGTTGCAGTGTGCCGAGATCACGCCACTGCACTCCAGCCTGGGTGACAGAGCAAGATTCTGTCTCTAAATAAATAAATAATACACACAATGGAATATTATTCTGCCTTTAAAATAAAGAAATCCTGTCATGTGACAACATGGATGAACCTGGAGAACATGATGCCAAGAGAAATAAGCGAATCACAGAAGGACAAATACATGATTCTACTTATATGATGTCAAACTCATAGAAAGAGAATAAGATGGTAGTTGCCAGAGGCTGGAGGGAGGAGGGAATGGGGAGTTGCTAGTCAGTGGATATAAAATTTCAGTCATGCAAGAGGAAAAAGTTCGAGAGATCCGCTGTATAACAATGTAGTTATAAATAACAGTATTGTGTTGTACACTTTAAAATCTATTAAGAGGGTAGCTCTTACCTTAAGTATTCTTGACACAATGAGATCAAGTAAAACGGAAAGCCCATTGTATATAACAAACTGGAAATTTTACAGTCATATTCCTGGTCATAATGCAAGAACACAAGAAATAAAAGTAGATGAATTGGATGTCTTTTGTAGTTGGTAGTTGGCAACAAATAAAACAAAATAAAATAAAAAGTAGATGCAGAAAGACATTTGAGAATGTCAAGCCTTTCTATCGAACTACTCTAGAACAAAAATACATTTATAAGATATTTGAGAAATAATGCTAATAAAAACACTCCATATAAAAACTCATGGATCACCCTAGAGCTATACTCAGAGGAAAATGCCTACTCTTAAAACATTCTGGGAGTAAGAAAAATAAAATACAGCAGTCAATTAAGTCTGCCTAAGAAGTAGGGAGGAGAAACTTTGTTTTCCCTTCAAGAGCTGCCTGAGGTGACGTGCCCATTTTGTCACACTCCCCAGAGTCAAACACTTTAGCAAAACAATAAAGATCACAACTCCAAGTCTTATTTGGAGCTCAACAAGTTAGACATAAGGTGTTTCGTTGGTTTTGTTAAAAAGCAGATATACTGAGATATAATTCACATCCCACCATACAATCTACCCACTTAAGGTGCAAAAATGAGTGGTTTTTACCATATTCACAGGTTGGTGCATCCATTACTATAACCAGTTTTTAGAACATTTTATTTAATTTTAATTTTTATATTTTTGAGACGGAGTTTTGCTCTTGTTGCCAGGGCTGGAGTGCAGTGGTGTGATCTTGGCTCACCACAACCTCCGCCTCCCGGGTTCAAGTGATTCTCCTGCCTCAGCCTCCCGAGTAGCTGGGATTACAGGCATGTTTCACCATGCCCGGCTAATTTCGTATTTTGGGTAGAGACAGAGTTTCTCGATGTTGGTCAGGCTGGTCTCGAACTCCCGACCTCAGGTGATCCGCCCACCTCGGCTTCCCAAAGTGCTGGGATTTCAGGCATGAGCCACCATGCCTGGCCGGAACATTTTTATTACCATTGAAAAAACTCCATCCCTTGGCCAGGTGGTGGCGCACGCCTTTAATCCCAGCACTTTGGGAGGCTGAAGTGGGAGGATCACCTGAAGTAAGGAGTTTGAGACCAGCCTGGCCAATATGATGAAATCCCGCCTGTACTAAAAATGCAAAAAATATCTAGACTTGCTGATGCACGCCTGTAGTCCCGGCTACTTGGGAGGCTGAGGTGGGAGGATCGCTTGAGCCCAGGAGGTGTAGGTTGCAGTCAGCTGAGATGGTGCCACTGCACTCTAGCCTGGGTGACAGCATGAGACTCTCTCAAAAAAAAAAAAAAAAAAAAAAAGAAAAAGAAAAATCCCATTTCCATTAACAGCCATTCCCCATTTCTCTCCATCCCCACCCTGCTGGCAACCACTAATCTGCTTTCTGCGTCTGTGGATTTGCCTATTATGGGAATTTTATATAAATGGAATCCTGTGGAGAGAGAGAGAATGGAGAATGACTGCTTAACTGGGTACAGGAGTGATGAAAAAGTTCTGGAACTAGATAGTGGTGATGGTTGCAAAACATTGAGAATGTATTTAAACATGCCTAAGTTGTACACTTTAAAATGGTTAACCAATCCGGGCAACATGGTGAAACCCTGTCTCTACCAAAAATATAAATTAATTAATTAATTAAATGAATGAATGAATGAATGAATGAATGAATGAATGCCAGGCATGGTGGTCCCAGCTACTCAGGAGGCTGAGGTGAGAGGGTTGCTTGAGTCCAGGAGGTTGAAGCTGCAGTGAACCGAGACTGCTCCACTGCACTCCAGCCTGGGTAATAGAGTGAGACTCTGTCTCAAAAAATAAAAACTAAAAATAAAAAAATCTATAATAAAGCGGTCGATTTTATGTTATGGTGGATTTTATGTAATGTGTTTTTTTACCATAATAATTTTTAAAATCCAAACTAAGGAAAGCTAGTATTTGTGAAGTCATTAGACAGAACCATATCTAATTTAAGAATTAGTCATGAGTATTGAAGTGGATTCCTTTTTGTCACATTGTACTAAGAGAAACAACAAACATTGTCAACCAAATATCACCCAAAACAACAACTATTTAAGCTTATTTAACCAAAACACGGAGGTTAGGCATTTTGTTTCTTTGAAAGCAAGGCATAATAATTTTAACAAAACAAACATGTGGAGCTAAAAAAGATGTTTTAACAATAAATATACAATTTTAATAGATTGTTACCTAAGTGACTATGAAAAGCTTGAAATGTCACATTATGATGCTGGCTTCACCTTGCTCTGTTTATTTACAGACTAGGAAAGAGAAAGATAAGCCTCCAGCCTTATCAAGCTCCTAAAAATTTCTCACTTTGGCAGCATTAAACTATTGTGCAAGAGCAAGTGGGGTCAGGGTCTGTGACTCACGCCTATAATCCCAACAAGCTACCAGCTTTCAGGTCCCAGATGTAATAAGACTCAAAGAAACGGCATCAAATTCTAGAGCAAAATCAATCATCTACCATGATTGTGCTGAATATCCTTCTGTTTCCACGTAAGGGAACATTAAAGTCAGCTTCTGAATGGCTTGAGACTTTAAAAATAAAACTAGCCAGGCGTAGTGCCACACACCTGTAGTCTCAGCTACTTTGGAGGCTGAGGTGGCAAGATTCCTTGAGCCCAGGAGATCAAGGCTGCAGTGAACATGAGTGTGCTACTGCATTCTAACCTGAGTGACAAAGCAAGACCCAGTCTCTATTTTTTTAAAAAACTATTTAAGAAAACTGCAACCAAGTATTAATGCAGTGATTTGTGATCTTGGATGCACCTTAGAATCATCTAATGGCTTTTAGAATCTTCCATGCCCTGGTCACACCCAAGGCCATTTTTTTTTTTTTTAATTTATTTTAGGTTCCAGGATACATGTGCAGAACATGCAGGTTTGTTACATAGGTAAACGTGTGCCATGGTGGTTTGCTGCACCTATCAACCCTTTATGTAGGTATTAAGCCCAGCATGCATTAGCTATTAGTCCTGATGCTCTCCCTCCCCCTATGCCATCGACAGGCCCCAGTGTGTGATGTTCCCCTCCCTGTGTCCATGTGTTCTCATTGTTCATCTCCCACTTATGAGTGAGAACATAGAGGCGTTTGGTTTTCTGTTCCTGTGTTAGTTTGCTGAGGATGATGGCTTCCAGCTTTATCTATGTCCCTGCAAAGAACATGATCTCATTGCTTTTTATGGCTATATAGTATTCCACGGTGTAGATGTACCACATTTTCTTTATCCAGTCTATCATTGATGGGCA